GTGATATTATTATCTTAATGTTTAATCAACTTGTATACACTTACTTCTTTACTCACTTACATTTATTACTCCCAATGGAACATAAACTGCCGACTAACAATCTTCAATCCATTCTGTCCTCAGCTTTCCTTTCTAGTTCAAATGAATATCATTTGTATTTTATCCTCTTTTTTTTTAAAAAAAAGAAACGTTTTATTTGGACTTAATTATTCTTAAATTGAATTCACCTGTAGATTAAACCTACTGAAATATGTATATGATCCATATAATTAATAATGTTTACATTACTTAACTATAGATAAACAATATATACCTTATGGATTGAATACCACAATAATAATAATAATAATAATAATAATAATAATAATAATAATAATAATAATAATAATAATAATTAACATTACATTCAACTTAATAAATAAATACACATATAGATTTACCTAACATTAAAACAAATCAAACTTTACACTTGATTACTTCTTATTTTAATGGTGGTAAATATATTTAATAGTAGTAAAACAAATATGTTTTAGGTTTAGTGAACTTTTAATAAAAATGGTTATTTTAAACAAATTACTACAGATTGTTGTTGTTGTCGTTGTCGTCGTTGCTGTTGTTGTTGTTATTGTCGTCTTCGTTGTCGTTGTCGTCGTCGTCATCGTTGTCGTCGTCGTTGTTGTTGTTGTTGTTGTTGTTGTTGATGGTATACACCTTTCACTTACTAATTACTCACATTTTTTTTCGTTTTTATTTATTCTTGACAGATCTTTTGTTATTATGTTTCTTATTAAGTAGTATAATGCAACATACTTCTGTTTTGTTTTGTTTTGTATTGTTTGTAATATATGACATTTGAATGAATAATCAACTTTATAGATTATAGTAATATTAAATAAACAATTAAAGAAACAAACAAACATAATTCATGCTGTGTTTACATAGAAGAACAATGTAAACAACAACAAGAACAATAAATGTATACTAATTTTCTGACAATTTATGATGAATTAGTTCATTCTAAATACATGGTATTTAAAGAGCATTACATTATTATTATGGTATGATCTGATAATGACGTAGAGATTAATTTTGAACATTTTTATTAATAACAGAAAATGGGTTATGTGAAGATTTTAGTGATTTTATAGTTGACTTCATGAGTTAATTGAAGTTAGACCATTACAGAAAACTTAGAAGCACTGGATGGCTGTTTTGCCTTAGTATGGCACACCTCATCAGTGTACATTCAGTGATCCCGCCTCGAGAGGTTTGAATTCAGGATCTATAAGTTTCATGCCCGAACGCTTAACCACTAGACCACTGAGCCAGCCGGCATCCAACAGTGTTAATGTCTGACTTCAACCAATTCATGAAATTCAGCCACCGTTCATCATTGTCTTCAGTGAGTTACTATCTCACAACTGACCCTGTTGAACTCCATTGGTCATTGCTTTTCACTAGAACTCCAGGTTAAGCGCTCTCGCTCAAGACTGATAGGTCTTGGGTTCGAATCCCGCGAGGCCAGGTCATGGGTGCACACTGTTGAGCAATTCCACAATAGGATGAAACGGTCGTCCAGTGTTTCCAGGTTTTCAATGATGATCTAGTTTCAATTGATGCATAATCTCAACTGTGTTTTAAAATATCAGTACAAAGTATAGAAATAATATCTTCATTAAATTAATCAATAGGGAATTTTATATGGTTGGTAACCTGAATATTTATAAAACTATTAATAGAGAAAAACATAAATCATTTAAAAATTCCTATCATATTAAAAGACTAATATATATTGAATGAAGAATATCCTTTTCGATCAATTCTCTTCAGGTTCTACAATTCATATATATCCAAATTAATAATCTGAAAAATGATCAGGTTAAGGGTAAATAAAGTACATCGTTTAAAGTGAAAGCATACAAGTTTAAGATTGTTAAACAAAATACAATAAAATTATTAATGTTGATAGGAGTTAAACAAATGAACCCAAGAAACGGAAGTTCTAAATGTTATCACTTTAGTCTCTCTGTTTTCTGTTGTTCAAATGATTTTATTCTTAACCTAATTGGTTACATCATTTCATTATTACAACCTCTAATTTCAAATATTTATGTTTAGCTATGTGATTAAACAAAGGTCTGGTGAAGAAAGTGAACAGCTCGATATTGGCCTATTTAATATGAACTGGTCATAGTGCCACTATAAATCAATTCTTTACCAATGCTGATTAGAGATGAAGTCCTCCAAAAGGCTAAAACAGTAACTATGAGGATTAAGAAACCGTAGCTATACGTACAGAATAAATACCTTCAATCACTCCTTCTTCTTTAGCTAACCTCAAGGTCAATTAATCAATAGTAATCTTAGCTATTGAATGACCTAATTTGACTATTGACTTTTCTTAGCCAATTATAATTATCTCTGTTATGTTTATTCACAAATCTTTGTATTATTATTATTATTATTCACTTGGTATTGTCTTGCTTGAATCTTCCCATTGAGGTTTAAGACTGCAATTGATCAGTCTGTTGTTGGTATATGTGCATACTGTGTGTATTGCCTTAATTCCGAAGCTTTATAAGCAAAGATAGATAGTGGATAACGCGATGGCGTTTGAAGCGAATGGTACTGGGTTCGAGTCCTAGAGTGAACATCAACTCTGAGATGCAAGTACATAGAGCTGACGAGTTTCAAATAGGAGTGGTTGAAGATATTTCTTTTGTACATGTAGCTCCGGTTTTTTAATTCGCTCGCCTATTATTTCAGCCGTCTGAAGGACTTTAAGTCTGACCAGTTTTGGCAAAAAATTACTGACCATACAAATAATTGAAAAGGATTGGTTTATATTAACACTATGATTAGTTTGCACTACATAGACCAATATCAAGCTGTTCAATTTCTTCACCAGACCTTTGTTTAACCACATAGCTAAACATAAATATTTGAAATTAGAGGTTGTAATAATTAAATGATGTAACCAATTTAGTTAAGAATAAAATGACTTTAATAAGAGAAAACAGAGAAAATAAAAGGATAACATTTAGAACTCAAGGTTCTTTGAATCATTTTTAAAAGCTTGTTAAATTACTGAGTAACTGGTATGAAAATGAATGTGATGGTTACCACCATTGGATTTAATAATTCATTTCTTCAATCATCAAGGTATATGTTTGAAAAGATGAATGAAAAGATTAAAACCTTGTTTGGTTAATTGTACATTGGTATTCAAACCCGAATGAAGTCACCAATAGAAGTTACTTACTTATTTACGCCTGTTACTCCTCGTAGATGAACATAAGCCTCCCACCAGCACTCTTCATCCAACCCTATCCTGTGCAATACTTTCTAGTTGTTTCCAGTTGTTATTCATCGTTTTCATATCTGTTTCTATTTCCCAACGTAATATATTGTTTGGCCCTCCTATTTTCCGCTTCCCTTCAGGATTCCTAGTTAGAGCTTGCCTGTAGCTCTTCTAGAGTTAAAGACGGTCCCAAAGCCCGGGTAAAGATGAAGGGTTAGACATGGGGTCGGTAACCCCATTCTATAGAAAAATATCCTTCTATAAAAACGTCAGAATGGTCTTCTTTCAGAAAATGACTTTTAACTTGATAAATTTATGTATTCTTTCAATAGATCTGTTTAGTTCATACATTGAACTGTAGTTTGTTATTTCATCCTATTCTACTGTTAATTGTTCTTATCAACGTTTAGAAAATAAAATCAGACTATGGTATTTCTTATCATCAAATCATTACTTAATTTAAAACAGTTAGTCCCATTGATAAATTTCGATAATGCAATGAGAAGACGAAGTTGATCAGAATTATGTGATATATTAGCGCAATACATTTGACAAAGGAAAAAATATTAAAGTACACAAAATAAATGTGATTACCACTCTGGATAATAAATCTGTATTACCAGGGTAGGTTAAGTATAAGGACAAATTGTTTTTGATCACATAAAGGGGGTTTTAGTTTCCGTATAGCCAAGGCTTCAATAAACCTTAGTATACGTCCTTGAAGGTTTTTGTATAACACTACAAATGCTGATTTGATGTCGACCTTATGACCCGTCTCAATCAAATGTTTCGCAATGGAGGATGATGTCTGTCTATCCTGTGATCTTATTTGACCATTGGAATCCATTTGGTTTTGCAACCATTTTGGTATGTGTTCATCCACCCTTAATTGCAAATCACGATTGCTCCTCCCTATATACGTGTTTCCACACATACATGTAAATTGATAGACGCAATGGGATGTGACACAATCGCTTATGTGGTGTTTGGGCTTTTGGTGAAACATAGACCTTGTCTTTTCAATAATGACAAGTTGGGCTGCATAAAATGTCCGGTTGATGGCTAATTTAAGTCTCCGTTTCAACATGAGACTATTTGTGTCGCCTCTGAATGGTAACGTAATATAAACTCGCTTTTTGGGTGCCAGAAGCGTCATAGGTCTAATCGTATTGCAACCCTTCTAGCGATTTATGAACTTCAAGGAATAACCATTATTCACTAACGTATCAGTCAGGAGCTTCGTTTCGACTTCAATAGTATCACTAGTACAGATACGATTGATTCTACTGAATAAGCTCTTTATTAAACCGCGTTTGTAATAAATAGGGCAGTGACTATGAAAATTAAGATATTGCCCTGTCCATGTTGACTTTTTATATATAGCACGTTGGATAGAACCATCATCTCTCCTACTGATCAAGATGTCTAGAAAAGGAAGTTTGTTGTTCTTCTCTTCTTCACATGTAAGAGATATGTGATTTTGACTTCTATTGAATTCTTTTAACAAGCGGTTTATGTCATCACCTTTATCCTCTATGATTATTATATCATCAACATATCGTTTATACAATCCCATCTTTTGATTTTATTTTTATATATAAATGCTCTTAACAAGTATATATGTGATCAGATTATTCCAAATGTATTGCGCTAATACATTACATAATTGTTATTATAATGATTATTATTTGTAATTTAGGAATGGAAATTACATGAACATGTAGAGATTAAAAAACGAATTATTAAACAAGAATATTCTAGTTCAATGAAAAGTCATCCATGTTTATCAGTAACATGTCGAGCAGCTAGACGACCTGGATATTTTTATTGGAATGTATTTCTTATAATGGTAAGATAATATATATATATATATTACATAGAGGATGAATGAACTTGTCATTAATACATTTAGTATACAAAAGTAGTTTATTAATTGTTATATTTTTTAGATTATTAATTTTAACGTTGTCTATGAAGAAATTGGATAATAATGAATTTATCACTATACAATCTATCTGTTGATATATTTCATTGCTGAAGTTAAACGCTGTATTCAGAGTATAAATTCGATTAATTAGTTCTATCAGAAGGGGTTTTGTGGAAATTGTAGTCATTTATATAGTTGAGATCATGAGTCAATTGAAGCTAGATCACCATAGAAAACCTGGAAGCACTGAATGGTCGTTTTGTCCTATTGTGGGATTCCTCAGCAGTGCACATCCACCGTTGGATGCCGACTCAGTGATTTGATGGTTAAGCGCTCGCGCGCGAGACTGACAGGTCCTGGGTTTCAATCTAGCAGGGGGTGGGATCGTCCCCCTGTAGGACGAGGCAGTCGTCCAGTGCCTTCAGGTTTTCCATGGTGATCTAGCTTCAATTAATTCATGATCTCAACTCCTGTAATTCGTTCTAGTTAGGCAGTAGAAATTTCTAGATTTATCTAATACCGATAACGTTACGAATGAAATAACGGATTTATCTTAAGGGTACTTTTGTAACTGATAAATTAGTATCGAATGAGATCATCAAATTATTGCTTCAAGTATATGAATGATTCAATTTATAATCGATTCGTAAAGTGCTTCAACCATGTCTACAATGAAACATGGTGGTGATTGTAATCTATGTGACTTAAATAAGTCATGTAGTTTAGATATTATACAATTCGAATATTTTAGTTAGTTGAATTCGTCGAATGTCTTTTATCGACTTATTTTAGGATGATACATAAGGACATAACACTAAATAGCACTGAAGTGATCATTAATGATTCCATTTTAACTGAAACAGAAGTTGGGGGGGAGACAATTGGGTTGGTTCAATGAGTCGGATAAAAGATCATTCAGTAGAGAGACAAGAACAAATTTTTCCACTCATAATACCTGCGAAAGTCGAGAGAAATTTTCAGTTGCCAGTTAAAACATAATGGAAGATAATGGATGATTATTTTGATATTATGTCATATCTAGAACTTAGATTCCCAATATGCCGCGTATAACTTCAGTATTCGAACGCTAGAACCCTCCCAAGTTGCAAATGAAAAGACAGAATACAAGTGAAAGGAATGTTATTCTAAACAGTGTCTGTTAGGGTACAAAACTGTCAGGTATTAATAGTTTTTAGTGAAAACGAAATCATCATTATACTTATCCAATCCGCACACAGGGGGTTATTAGCATTCGTCTAATAGGGAAGCTACACGTAGGGATTCTGAAATATTCTACCAAAAGATGATTGGATGGAATATCTTCGGCACTTTATGAGCTTCTTAGAGCTTCCTCGAGTTCACCTGTGGACCGTACTCACATATTAGATCTTATGGACAGCTAATAGAAGTAAAAATGTAATGAAACCGTGTTAGATGTAAGAAGGTAGTTACCCTGTGAAGACAATGAAAGATAGTTATGCAATATTGTGGACTGATTAAAATTAAACTAGATTTAAATTGCCATGTATTCGAAAAAGATTCTTAAAATTTCTAATTGGATAATGGTATATTTTAACGATCAGATCACATATTAAAAAGAAGATCAGGTAGTAACTTATGACATGATAGGTGAACTGCTTGAATATCTGAGTTACCTGTTCCTGCGATACTTCAAGTTATCTGTATTTTGTTTGTTTCAACAGATCATTATATCAGTTAATTGCACAACCTATTCAGGTGACTTTGGAAAGTCATGATCTTTCGCTATACAAATTAGGAAAAAACACAATCAGTAACATTGTGGTTGTTGACAATACACATTGAAAAGAATGTACATTATTCTAATGTCGATTTCTTAACTGATAAGATCTAATTGGCGATCACTCAATATTCATCGTCAGGATCGATCAACAAATAAGAAACGGAAACTTGTTTAAATACTTTGTGCTCAAAATTCTATATTATATCAAAAATATAATATTGAATAAAGCCACTTATAATAATAATATCAGTGGTTGAGATCATGAGACAATTGAAGCTAAATCACCATGGAAAAACCTGAAAGCACTGAACAACCGTTTCGTCCTATTTTAGGACTCCTCATCAGTGCGCACCCACCATGCCGCTTCGCGAGATTCGAACCTAAGACCTATCAGTCTCGCGCTCAAGCCATTAAACTTTAATAAAACAGATTTGAGTTTCATTTACATGAATAAACTGTAGATGAATTCTGAAAGAAATATTTACACTAGCCTCTTCAATATAATTGGATTGTGGAATCGAAGATATTCTTCTCATTCTATTAGGTACTTTCTAAGTGTATTTACTTACATCAGTCTATTGATGTTCATTATGGAATTCCAATGCAATACCTATTCCTTTAAATAACTCTCAACTAGTCTATTGAATCCAAATACCCAATATATTTTTCATCCCTGACCGTTGTTGCTACCTTGACGTGGTGGTCGGGCTTGCCTATCGTGATGAAGCAACTGAGCTATACTGGCTGGAACAACCGTTCCTCAAGGTCCTACCATGCCAGACAGGTCGGTTGAAGAGCGGTAAGACTAAAAGCAACAAAACCAAGGTCCGAAGGCGAAGTCGTACTGCTGACTGTACAGAGGTGTGACAGCAGTAAGGTGTTTCCTTCAGACAACCAGCATGACAGCGATGATGCCTTCCCACAAGGAGGGGTGGGGTTAGAAAAGGTCGACCCTAAAAATGCACACCTCGCCTTATCCCACGGATATCCGTCTCCGGCGGTAAGGACTCAACAAGTACGGAGCTAACACAAAAATCACTCATAAAAAGGTCGTGTGTGACCGACCTCAAGCAGCTGTCCCTTGGGCACTGCGGTCACGCTCTCAGGTCACTATGACCACCTTTAATCCAATTTCCTTTTCAGGTACCTCCAGAAGAACCCTTCCATGGTGTGGGCAACCGGGAAGTGATAACCGCCCTCATACCTCTAACAGCACTCAAGACCACTGTATTCATAATCAACCTCCCTCTTCAACCATATTGTTCATCAAGTATGATAGTATAAGTAACATTTATAATTTCTCGTTATTGATTTAAATAACAAACTTCTCATGTATGTACATCTTGAACGATACTATTTTTTGATTACAAGTTTTTATTATCCATGTAATTCTTGGATCCTATTACATTCATTTCAACATTTCATTATCATCTTACAACCAATTAGAATAATAAAACATTGAAATTTATTGATTATTTATTATTATAATAATTATTATTTTCTTTTATTCAGTTCATGATTTCTGGTTTAGCATTTGCTACATTTGCTGTTTCACCAGATAAAGCAGAACTTCGTCTACGTTTATCATTTACATTAATTTTAACCAGTGTTACATTTAAATATGTGATTACACAAAGTTTACCAAAAATTTCATATTTAACTTATATGGTAAGTTATGTAAACATTGTACGGTTTCATTTCATGTACTTATTCTAATAGATTTATATGATAAAGATTCTAAATGTAACCAATAATGTCATTGTAGGTATCATTACTATGGTTTGAGTTGATAATTTTCAATATACTGAGCATTGTGTAGATTGTTATAAAAGAAATCAAAGTAATATATTTGTGGATATCTCTATGATTAGAAAAATTAGAATTTTCTGACGTTTCGTGATTCAGTGTAAATCACTTCTTCAGAGAATAAATAACCAGATCAATACAAAAATCACATTTGTTTCATTCTTGACCTTGCACACATACACACACACACACACACAAAATTACATACATGTCGCTTATAAATAACCTTAACCGGAAAGATATGACAATGGCTTGGTGAGGCCTGTTTTTTTTTTGTTTGATCACACATAATATTTTTTGGGTTGTTCTTTCGTACTATTTAAACTCTGAAGAAGTGGCTTACACTGAGTTACGAAACGTTAGAAAATTCTAATTTTTCTACTTATTGGGATACTTACAAATATATTAATTTACTTACAATGATGACATTCTTTTGATAGAGTCTTTCTTATAGTCAGTCGAGATTACAAAGATTGGAGTTGTTCCATTTGATTCAATAAAACATAAATTTCACTGTAAATGGAAGTTTTGGCGAGACTATAATTTATGGATGAACCAATCAGATATAAGAGAGCGAGTCACGAATTTTGGCGCGGAATTCAGCTATACATTTGGCTAAATAAAGTTTTGGTATTATAGCTGATGACGGTTCGTGATGAATAACTTAAATGTAATTCCTAACCCTAACCATCAACTGTAAATCATAATCCTAATTCCTCACATAGGTTTACAACCCTCATTTAGTCCTAGTTATTAAGTGAACACTCTGAAGGTCAGTTTAAAATTGCTGAAAGGTCGTCCATAAATTATAATCTCACCGAAGTTTTAGTAAAACCGTACATTTATGAATATTATTCAATATGAAGTCAGTCTTTATTATTTTTATTACTTCTTTAGTTGAATTTAGGTTATGATAACAATAATTCTCAGAAAGGGTTTTGTGGAGATTGTAGTAATTTCAATGATTAAGATCATGACTCATGGTCTTAATCATTGAAATTACTACAATCTCCACAAAACCCCTTGTGACAATAATCAACAAATGCTCACTAGTGACTGGTTTCAAAATGTATATCTTGGAGTTCTAGTGAGAAGTAGTGACCAGTGGAGTTGAACCAGGTCTGTTGTGGGATAGTAACTCACTGAAGACAATAGTGGATGTGTCGCTCAATTTCGTGGATTAGTTGAAGTTAGACATTAACACCGTTGGATGCCGGCCGGCTAAGTGGTCTAGTGGTTAAGTGTTCGCGCGCGAAACCAGTAGGTCCTGGATTTCAATCTCGCAGGGGGCGAGGTCGTGGATGCGCACTGCTGAGGAGTCTCGTAATAGGACGAAACGGCCGTCCAGTGATTCCAGGTTTTCGATGGTGGTCTAGCTTCAAATGACTCATGATCTTAATCATTGAAATAACAATAATTGTTAAATTGTTTAGGATTACTGGAAAGTTTATTGTTTGTTTGCATCATTCAATTGTTGTTTACAACTGCAATTGATTAATTTTAAAATAAAAAGTAAGATTCAAACAATACAAAATGAAATAAAAATTCCTCCTATGCACAAACTAGTGGCTATCAGGAATCAGTATCTACGTAGATAACGCGATAATATTTGAAGTGAACGGTACTGGATTCGAGTCCCGGAATAAACGTCGAGTCTTGGATGCAAATACATCCAGATGACCATTCCCACCCAGGACAAAATGCGTATCCTAGATTCTACTGCTAGCTACCACTTATCTTTATTTATAGAATTTATTTTGTTTATCTTAAAACTAACATTGTACTGTGTACATCATTTGATTGTCCTAAAATTTAGATTTAATTACGATATACTTATGTATGAACAATTAATTGAAGTTAACTTTAATTTGCATCATTTCATTGGAAATTAACCGATAATTTAATGACAGGGTGAACAATTTCGGGGGTTCAACTATTGGTTAACACACATACACACACATACACAAAAACATAGACATTCATGCATGGTTACAGATTCAAAGAAATTGCTTTCAGTTGCAAGTTTATTTGAACAGTTAAAAAGAAATTTGAAAAAAAAGAAAAATGGTTTTCTTCTTGTATCACTTCTGAAATAAAAATAAAATTCCGATATATAAAAGTCAAATTTATTTAAAAATTTCGCCCCTAGTGACAATTATTACATCTGTTGTCTGACAGAGAGTGAGAGAGAGAGGGAGGGAGGAAGAGAGGAAATGAACGAAATTAGCATTTTATATTTAACTGACTTGTACATTTTTCATTGATTATTTGAAACAAGTATTTATTTTTTTTGTTTGTTTTTTTTTTTGGTACAAAGTTTGGGTTTAAATAAGAAAGACAAAATCGGACATAATATTGATTTAAAGATTTTTAATAGATCATTTATGTTATAATATGAAATTACCTTAGATACTATTGAAAGTTAAAAAGTACTATATGATTGTTTTGTTTTGGTGTAGTAGGAAACTACGATTGATTGAATTTCTTTATGAGAAACAAGTTAAACAAATTGAAGTCAAGTTAATGTTTTATATTCTTGGTGTATAATGTTGTTTTAAGAAATTTAAAGAAATTAGTCCCTTTGATAAGCTTTGATAATGTATTAAGAAGACAAACATTATCAGAACTATCAAAGAAAGAACAAGGTGCATGCTTTATTCAAAGCCTAAAAGACATGAAAACGATTGTGTCACATCCCAATGTGTTTACTAATTTAAATGTGTGTGTGTGTGTGTTCACACATACATAGGGAGGAGTAATCGTGACCACAAAATCACGATGTGCGAACATGTCCAAAAATGGGTGCGAAAACAAATAGAATCAAATGACCCAATAAGAGTAGAGGATAAAGATCCATCATCCTCTATTGCTAAACATATAATCGAAACAGGTCATAAGATTGGACTTAACTCGGCATTTGTGGCGTTCTATAAAAGTATCAGCCAGTAACAACGTAGAACTTCGTAAGTACGTACATCAGTTAAAGTTGCCATACCACATTAGCATAGAGATGTAGTTGTCGATCCAAATCCTATAATGGTAAAGGTAGTAAAAGTATAAGCACTAATTGGAAAGATTATGGTTTGAAGATGTTATTCAAGGAATATAATACAGTGAAATAAATTTGGAAAGAGAAAAAAGAAAGGGACATGAACTCATAAGATTAGAATTCGAGAGAACACAAAGAGTGGATGCACCTACGCCATTGCAAACGATTTTGATCCATGTCATTCAAGGTATCTAACCATCGATTGCTATCGTCTCGCGGATCTCAATCAAGTAGTCTACACCTACCAACATGGCTCACACAATTCACTTGTCAGTGACTTCATGGATTTGTGCCACGTTTTTGTCTGGCTGCCTCTAGATTTCTTTCAACCTACTCCTACACCATAAAACATCGTACGTCGTTGCACTCGTTGGTCGGGCATACGTAACACATGTCCCAGCCATCTCAACTGATGAAATTTTACTACTTCATTAATTGATTTGCCATCCTTACATAGTACCAGTTCCCTAACAACTACATTACTTACTCGGTGGTCCTAGGATATACGAGCAATGTTTCGAAGACACCTTTGATCGAATACTAGTAACCTACGAATATCCTCTACTCTTACCGGCCATATTTCACTGCTATAAAGTAGGACAGAACGAACTACTGCGCAGTAAACCCGTCCTTTGATTGATAGACGGATATCTCGCCTACGCCATAAATAACGCAAGTTGGCAAAAGCTAGTCGAGTGAATACTAAGGTTTATTGTATCTTTAACCATAAGAAAATCCAAACCCCCTTTGTCTAATCAAAGACAGTTTGTTCTCACCTTAAACGTACCCTGATAATATTAGCTTATTATCCAGAGTGATAAGGTTTCATATTGTTTTCACATTAGTTCTTTATTATCCTTATCTCCTTGTACTCTTCATTTCTAGTCTAGTTGACCTTTTATTTTTTTATATATATAAATCTTTTTAACAAGTATATTATGTGTGATCATTCATTGTTCGAAGGATATTGCACCAATATGCCATCACATAGTTCTGATAATCTTCGTCTTCTTCTTATTCACACTGTCGAAGTATAATATTGTACTGGTAAAAAAATAAGAAGCTATTGAGTTAATTGATCAATTACACTGAAATTCTATGACGTAATTATATATTGATTTAGACCCTATATTTACCACCTATGATGATCAGTTGCTTCTATAGTTTTTGTCTGATAGATTATGTTTTTACATCATAACCTGTATCTGTTTGGTAAATACATGGTTGAAATGTTTTCTATTCAATAATGAATGAAAAGAATAAACAACAATTTAGTTAATGAAACAAAATATTTTCATATTGTACTTTTACTGAACTTACTTTCTCTTTAATGAGATAGTTGTCTACAAATACAATTGGTAAATAATACATCGTTATTATTATTATTGACTTTTATATCGATTTTTAGTCTTATAGATCTTATAGAGTAGTTACTTATGTGTAGAAAAACTTCATACTCAATGATCATGATCGGATTATATTATTGAATAAGGTGAATATAATTGACTTCACGAGTCGATCTTAACTAGATCATCATTTAAAACTTGGAAGTAATGGACGGTTGTTTCGTCCTAGCTCATGAACTCTCAACAGTATGGATTTATGATCCCACATATGGGACTTGAACTCAGGATCTTCCATTTCGCGTGCTGATGTCTAACATTTAAATCGCTGAGCCATATTGCAACAGTGTTATTGTCTAACTTCAATCGATCCATAATCTTACTCAACCATTCATCCACTGTCTTCATCTAACACCGATTGAACTCTATTGGTCACGGCTTCTCGCTAGAACTTCAGGAAATCTATCTTCAAAAAAAGTCACCAGTGAGCAGATGATGATTATTATTGGAATGAGGGTTTTGTGGAATATCTTTTAACTTTGTAATCTGCGCTATCAGCTAATAAACTGTAGTTTCCGCTTCTCATTGTCTTTTGATTTTAAACACTGTTGACAGGTGATCGATTAGAGGAGCAAAGTTATGACAAATTTCATTAATCATCAAATAAACTTAGATTATCTTTATTTTCTACTCAATAAATATGCTCATTCAGTGTTTGTTATAACAAAGATATAATCTATTTCTTGATATTCAAATTCGTTTATTTTCAGGATAAATATGTTTTAATGTCGTTATTCATTCTATGTATAATCAGTATTTGGCATGCAGTTGTTACATTGATTGGTTTAGATTTTGATTTACCTGATTCACCTGGATTTGGATCATCTTTACCTAGCACTACTACTACTACTACTACAACTACAACTACTACGTCTTCTAATATTTCACCGAATTCAAATGTAAATACAACAAATCAAGGCCCTAGATTATATTTTCCTAATTATAATAAATCAGAATCAATACAGTCTACTCCTAATCATTCTCAAATGAAACTATCAAATCACAGTAAGAACAATATATATGTACATTTATTTTGTTATTATTATTTCTATGATAGACTATCAGTAAGCAATAAAATGCAGGTTTAGGTTTTAATACAGAGTGATATCAGTTTATGAATAAGTAAGCGAGATCATGAACCTATCTAATTGGGACAACCAGTGAAAACTTGAAAGAACTGGACGATCGTTTCATCCTAGTACGGGAATTTTAAGCAGTACTTCCCAGTGGTTCTATAAATTTCGATCTCGCAAGCGAATAGTTATCCTCTAGAAAACTGATCCATGATCCAATGATGTATAAGTCTAATTTTAATTGATTCGTGATCTCAATAAAATTTAAAAATCTCTATAACCCCATATTAATAATAGACATTTATTTCAGTTGAAGATATGAATGTTACATACATGAACTCTACGATTGTTTACGTTTAGCACCGTTTTTAATTTTCTCGTTATTTTTTTTTGAGCGAGTTAGTTTTCTACGGGATGGGGTCGCTAACCCCATACCCAACCCTCCTCCTTTATCCGGGCTTTGGACCGGCAGTAGCCCCCCGAAAGCGACTCCAGGCGGAGTTACGTTTAGCACCAGTACAACTAAATGAAGACTAATTTAAATTTGGTCCGTTACAAGAGAGAATTCGGATAAAAAAAACTTAATGACACTATAATTTATAAACAACAGTTGAGCAACGTTAAAATAACCTTGGAATGTGCATCTAATTATCAGGGTTAAATGAGGGTTATAGATTAGTGTGAAGGAATTAGAATTAAGATTTACAGTTAAACGTTAGCGTTAGGAATTAGATCTGATGTTTTTATCATGAATTAATACCAGTTCTAATGCCAAAATGATATTTAACCAAATGAGTGAATGAATTTTGCTCCAAAATCCAAATACTGCTATCTTAAATGTGATTAGTTTGTTCATAAATTATAATCTCGTCGAAAACTTCATTCGAACTGAGAAGATCTATGCTTCGAGTAGAAAATTCAATTTAGTGAACATAATCTAAACTATGATAGTACTACTCAAAATGTTTGTTAGGTGTAGGGTCAGTGAAATATCATTGAATCCTAGCCAAATCGTCGATCCTTATTAAGGCCAAGGACAATCAACGCGTATCAGTTAATCGTACTCCATGGACTGGCCCATGCGGTGGTGGTTTTACTCTCGATTGTATCTACCTTAACTAATATATTTTTGTAATAACGAACTCTGTGTTATACAGTCTTCAAAGCAGCCGTAGTACTTTGATACGTCGAAGGAATAATTTACGTTAGATGCTGACTCCGAAGTGTGAATTCGAAGTTTGTTGTTTCGTCACACCATTCCCGTCTAACTCGAGTAGGCCTGCAATCATTCGACATAGATCATCTACAAAAGAATGGACAATATTCTTTTGAAATTGGTTTTAAAAGTCGATTTCATCAGAAAATTAAGGTAGAAATAGTAGATGGATTGCAATGAGTAAAATTTTGGATTCCTGACATTTCAAGACTTAATGTAAGTTACTTCTTCAGAGTAAATAACCGAAATAACTGGATTAAATTATAGCAACTCACGTTCAATTGAGTTTGCTCTCACCTAATTCGGTTAAGCACTTTTATTAACTTATTAAACGGACAAAGTCACCTGCACTATAATAACTCAATGTATCCTTATTACTGTTGCGAATGTATGTACCTTTATTATTGTTATCCTTGTATGAATATGTATGCTCGGCAAGCCTTACTGCTTACGCATTTATTCACGCTACTAGCTTTACTATTAACCGCTTAATTGACTCGATGATTCATTCATTTCACTATGTATATATATGTCCATGTTATTCATATTCATGACTCGCTCGCTCGTTCATTCACTCGCTCGATCGCTCGCTCTTGCCCTTGCTCTCTCTCGCTCGCTCGCTTGCCTGTTTGCCTTTCGGCACAACTATTTCATGCTTGCTTAACGCATCTGTAATATTGGATATGTGTGTGTGGTCCCTTAATAAACGTAATTAACGCTTCGTATTCGCCTTCTGATTAATATACCGTTGGAGCATTATTTGGTGACGGTTACCGAGACGAACTGTATACGGAGTTTAAGGAATATATCGAACACCGACCACCACAAAATGAATACAAGTTTAAATGGTCTATATAAACGTCAGAAACTCAAATTTCTAACCACAGGGACATCACAAAAATATAATTGTTACATTCTTATTAACCTTCTATTCAATGCTTAATTTATTTAAAACTATCCAATTCAACCGTGACATTGATACCTAGATAAATTTATAGCTCCATTGTTGACATCTATGCAATTCTAAGTCTACTTTCCTTGTTCAGAGATACATAATTCATGAAAATATAGTGAAGGAGAACACTGGAGAGGACAACTGGATGTATCTCAACACAAAATTAGAGAATATCTTAGTAAAATCTGAGGGCCATACAATAAATACTTCATTTGCAAAATGTTAATCAATTGTCTCAGACTTCATGGTTCCTTTGTTTCCACACCAATCATTTTCTGTTCTCGTTCTTTTTTCTTTGACCTTCTTAACCTTCTGCAACCAAACATTTCACTTAAATTTACAGAAGCTACTTTGATGTGTGCTACTGATATCAACAGCTATAAGTAGTATGTATCATCAACCAAAAGTGAAATACCTGAAGACAGGTTAAGAATATCAGAGAAAAGAGAACGAGAAAACTAAATGATTACTGTAAAAGCGAAGGAATAATCAAATCTACGACAACTGATTAACATTTTGTAAATGAATTATTTACTGTATTGTTCTCAGATTTCACTATATTCTGTAATTTTGTATTGAAATGTACTTGGTTGTCCTCACTGGTGTTCACATTCACCACACTAGAACTATTTAACATTTAAAACCTAGTTCATTTGTTCAAAAGAAACATTTGTAATATCATCATTGCCCTTCTTATAGTTTTCCTTTCAACTTGGTTTCAAATACTTGATTACATAATCAATTACGTATTTCACTGTTTATAATTAGTATTTTGTTTCATTTTCTGAAATAGTCTGTGGAGCCCGTTGAGTTCGTCGGCGGCGGCGGGCTCCACAAAAGTGGTGAGCCCGACGTGATGAGTAACGGGATAAGAAGTGTACACACACCTACGCGCTCATATAAAAACAGTCAAGATTGATAAGCGAATAATTAACAAGGTTAGAATGTGACTCAAGTAGAATGAATAGAATGGGCTGTCCGAAAGTTAGAATAAGCTATATGGGCTTAACGTAATAACAGACACTACAAGTCTTTGTTACGTACTCGATCTGTCTATCCACTTTTGGTGCTGAGGATACTTGTCTAATCTACATCAAGACGTTGACGTGATAGGCTAACCAGCTTAACCTTGAGGCTAGTACTCGAAGTAGGGTAAAGAGAAGAAAAACATTCTATTACCTGATTGGCTGACAAGCACACGAGTGAGAGAAGACAAGTCAACTGGAACACTACTCGATTTACTCGCAATTCCGATCTGGTTCCTGATTTCAGATCAGTGTAAAAAGATACATGAATAAATAGATGACTAACCAGACAAAAACGTACAGTAATTAGAAGAATACAATTATGTCGAAAACTGGCGATTAGCGTAGGAAATAATACGTTTAAATTACAATAGCTTTGGAACAAAAAGGGTTATAGCAGTGAATCATATCATCAAACAAAATATAATGATATGTAGAAAATAGACTAGCGACAAAAATAAATGTTAATGTTTTACAAGATTTGAATCAACTGAAATAACGTGCCGAAAAAGAGCTTCCGCAGTTTGTCAAGCCTTCTTGTTTCTCTGTTCACATCAGTTTTTTGTATGTGATCTTTTAATGTTGAATAAACTCTTTGATCCATCAATGATTATAAACATTCAAATCTATTCATTTCTACTTATACAGATACATTAACATATATGCATAATTGTAAGCAGCTAATAAGACTATAATGAAATGAAATTGATGCATATAGTTTTACTAAAATCATTATGTCAGTATAGTTTTGTGGTGGTTGTTGAGTTTTGATTGAGTTTATGGATTGATCAATGTTAGACCATCATTAAAAACTACCATTAAAAATGTGAAGTGGTTGAAGATACACATTGATACTGTCTCAGTAATCTAGAGGTTAGATGTCCATCCGCGAGACCGAAGGTCCTGGATCCGAATCCCTCATGCAGGATCGTGGATGCGCACTGCTGAAGACTACCATATTGGGACAAAACAACCCTCTGTGAGGTTCCAGGTTTCCGACAGTGGTCTAACATTGATCAATTCATAATCTCAAATAAAATCTTTTTGTTTGCTTTATTCACATTAACAAAGTGAACTATGTGTATTGATATGGGATTAGTTTATGATGAACTTGCATTAGTTATTTTATAGAATGTCAGGAACAAACCTAGAAAAGGCCTTTTATTTATTTAATCATCATCAGGTGACATTATAATTTATGGACGACCTTTGAGAGATGTTAAGCTGACCTTGAGAGTATTCACCTAATAACTACGACCAAATGAGGGTTATAGACCAACGTGAGGAATTAGAATTATGATTTAGAGTTGATGGTTAAGGTTAGGAATTACATTTAAGTTATTCATCACGAACTGTCATCAGCTATAATACCAAAACTCTATTTAGCCAAAATAGATGGATGAGTTTCGCGCCAAAATCCGAGCAGTGTTATCTTATATCTGATTGATTCATCCATAAATTATAGTGTTGCCGATTTTCAAACAACCTAGTAATGTTTAATGTAAGTCATTTTCAAGTACATATTATTGTCTAAATAGTTCATTATATTATGTTAATTTTATTTTAGGGTTTTCCAATATATCTTTAATATCAGAACAAATGAATAATTCAAATGCACTGCCTTCATTGCATAATCTTTCATCATTATCTCCATTATCTTTATTATCTACACCATCTATGCACAATAATCTATTACAGAATGATTCCTTTACATTATTATCTAAACCAGTAACACAAACACCATTGATAACGACAACAACTGTGAATCAAACATTTAACTCTTTATTAAAAGAACAAAACAATGGATGTAGTCGTACTAATCGTATGGCATGTTCCGATTGGAAAATGGTACAACAAATAGAAAAACATGTATTCACATCATTTGTTACAATTTATATATTGGCACATGCAATTTTTATATTTTGGCTTTATTTCGATGTAAGTTATCTTGGGGGGGGGGGGGCGAATTTGTAAATTTAAGAGAATAATTTTATTTAAATCTTATCCAAACCCTGTTAAGTTACTAGTATCATATTATGGTGTGTGTGTGTGTGCGTGCTACTTATGTTGATATAAGTAGTATATAACACCAATCAGAAATGAAATGCCTAGGAGCAGAAGATTGGAAAGATTGAATCCAAGAGAATAGATATAGAGAGTGATTTTTATGAAAATGAAGAAGCAATAAAGTTTAAAACAATTGATGGACGATTTTTAAATAAAGTATTGGATGTATGGTATATACATTTTAGGGAATAACTCTGTACTGTTGTATTCATATACAGTTGGTTGTCTCAACTTGTGTTTCTGTTCATTACAGAATAAATTAAAGCTTTCATGTACATGTATGTGTCTGAGGTCTAATATCAACTGATCGAGGTCTTATTGAAGACCCATATATTTCGATGCAAATTATCAACAAATTGAGATAATAATAATAATAATGAAAATGGCTTTATCGTGAAATGAATTCAACTCTCAATACTATCTTGTAGTGCATCCAATGATAAGGTTCTGTAAAGAGGAATTACTGGATAGAACTCTCTCTCTGTTTCAGGATCAATAAATTTTACAGTTGCTCAAAATAAAAGACTGAAATACTCGCGTTTAATTGAGGTAATCATTTTTCTAGAGAAGGAACATCCTTACTTACTGTTACTCCCAATGGAGCATAGGCCAACGATCAGCATTCTCGAACTCACTTTATCCTTGTTCAATCATCTTAGTTATTCATTATTCATAAAAGTTACATTGATATTTAAAAGAAAATTAATTTCTAACCAAAAATGACTCTTATTTGATAAATTTTAATAATCAATAAAATCGGTTAAAAAGGGTACTACTACTACTACTACTACTACTACTACTACTACTACTACTATGGTAACACTCCTACGGTTAGTTTTGATTATGATTAATTTTAATCAAACCCTTTTATTAACTTATTTAACAGACAATGTTATTCGAACAGTAATAATTCGTTTATTTATTTGTACTATTATAATCACCATTATGTTTGTATAAAGGTGTATGCTTGATCACATGTGACAGCCTACGTACATTATCTTTCTCTTAAATATCTCTCGATGAATCATTCTTGTTCCCATGTTTATATAATATATCATCTGAAGCATTGAAGTCAGACATCGAAGTAACTAAAAACATGCTTCATCTTCTATTCAAGAAGATTTAGCAGGAGGAACAAGTGTTGATGGACTGGAAAGAAGAACACCTCATCAAGATTCCAAAGAAAGAAGATCTGAGCAAGTGTGAAAACTATAAAGGCATTACACTACTGTCAACATCAGGAAAAGTCATTAGCAGAGTGTTGCTGAACCAAATGAAATACTCAGTAAACGCCCAACTTCGAGATCAACAAGCTGGATTTCGTATGGATCGGTCATTCACAGACCAGATTGTGACACTACGGATCATCGTCGAACAATCAATTGAGTGGAACTCGTCACTGTACATCAACTTCATTGATTATGAAAAGACACTTGACAGTGTAGATAGGAGAACATTATGGAAACTTCTTCGACACTACAAAGTTCCTAAGAAGATTGTCAATATTATCCGGAACTCATATGACGGAGGACAACTGACAGGCGCATTCCAAGTAAGGACCGAAGTAAGACAAGCAGTTTACTCTCTCCATTCCCCTTTCTTCTAGTAGACGACTGGATTATGAAGACCTCGACATCTGAGGGAAAACACGGCATACGATGGACAGCTCAGAAACAATTAGACGATTTGGACTTTGCAGGGGACTTAGCCATCCTATCCAATACACACGAACAAATGCAGATAAAGACAGACAGCGTAGCAGCAGTCTCTGCATCAGTAGGCCTCAACACACACAATAGGAAAAACCAAGGCCCTCAAATACAACACGGAGAATACCAACCGAACTAATCACACTTGGTGGAGAAACTCTGGAAGATGTAGAAGCCTCCACATACCTGGGAAGCATCATCGATGAACAAGGAGGTTCAGATGCAGATGTAAAAGCGAGGATTGGTAAAGCAAGGACCGTATTTCTACAATTGAAGAACATATGGAACTCAAAACAACTGTCTGTCAACTAATATCGAAGCCACGATCTTCAATACCAACGTCAAGGCAGTTCTTTTGTACGGAGATGAAACGTGGAGAAGTACTACGACCATCATCAAGAAGGTGCAAGTATTTATCAATAGCTGCCTACGCAAGATGCTCAACATCCATTGGCCGGATATCATCAGTAACAGCCTTTTGTGGGGAAGGACAAACCAGCTTTCAGCTGAAGAGGAAATTAGGAAAAGATGTTGGAAATGGATAGGACATACATTACGCAAATCATCAAACTGCATTACAAGACAAGGCTAAAGAACACATTACGTTGGGAAATAGAAGCGGAAATGAAAAGGATGAATAACAACTGAAAAGGATTTCCCGTGACAGGGTTAAATGGAGAATTCTGGTGAGCGGCCAATGCTCCTTCACGAGGGGTAACAGGTGTAATTAAGTAAGTAATGTTTATATGTACTCGAATCCTATTATTAACCTTTGTCTTATCTAGCTGCACCTTGATACAATTTGATTATTCACTTATATACACACATTCTCTTCTTTACTTTATAATCGTTCGATATACTTGTAATGTGGTTGTGTTACCTGTTACTTACTTACTTACGTCTGTTACTCCCAATGGAACATAGGCCGCCGACCAACTCAGTGTTAGAGCGCTCGCTTTGCATGCGAGAGGGCCCGGGTTCGAAACCCGGCACTTCCAAATCGCGCTCCTGTATTACCTGTACTGTCCTCTAATAAACAACTACAATCATTGCTTCTTATTACTTTCTAAATTCAAACATGATTATCTTTGTATCTTCTTAATCAAATGTTTTTTTTTTAAAAAAGAAAAACATAAAAATCTGTCATTTTGTTGAAGATTTATGATATCAAGAATACAATTTTTCAAGACTTCTGAAAATTGAACACATGTATAATTAAAGAACTAAAAGATAATACAGAAATAAGTACCATATGTTTGTCTGACATAATTAAAAGACATAAAATGTCAGCATATACTTGAATATAATTTAATTGTATTTTAATTATTAACAACAGTAACAATGGCAACTACTACTACTACAACAACAACAACAACGTTAGCAACAAAAATAACGTAAGCAACAACAATAACGATAGCAACAACAATAACGTCAGCAACAACAATAACGATAGCAACAACAACAAAATAATGTATAATTGAAGTGTATGAGTGTTGTTGTTTAAACATCTGTATTAACTAATTACTAAGTCATTATATCATTATTATTATTATTCTATTGTAACAGAAATGTAATATTAATGTTAACTATAATTAAAACTTAGTCAAAACAGTTTTCTTTATTCCAAAAAAAAAAAATAAATTTATTATTGGAATAGAAAAAAAGGTACAAATTCTTATCATAGTTACTATTGGGTGATGATAGAAAATGATCCACAGAATGAAGATGTGAATTATAGGAGAAGTTTGAACAACTGTCTTTTTTTTCGTAAGGTTATAAGCAAGGTCTTTAGGGTGTACATATGTATATTATAGACCCTACACTAATCATGATATATTTGGATTGTGATTAGAAATAAAATCTAGGACTTGCTCTGATTCCTATTTGGTGATGGTTAACTATATGAAATACACATGATGGATTTCAATGTTAACAAAGATGTGTAGTGTTGATTGATATGTTAAGCCTATATAACTTATTCTAGGTCAATAAAAAGCAATCAACATTGAGGTGTACAGAACAAGCTGTGAAACACATATGGAGAAATTCGAACACTTCATTTCTATCTGAAGCTTGCGTTGATGATGTCGTTCAGAAGAACGATGAAATCTCCACGACCAAACCATCCAGCTCAGAGAACAAAACTCGATCAAAAACTTATTCTAGCTTCTGGATAGGCCAATTTATCCGTTTTCCTTGAATCAAGTTTTAACCTTGTTAATTATTCACTTATCAACCTTGAATGTTTTTCATATAAGCATTTATGTCTGTGCATCTTATCCTTCTCACCATATATCTGTAACTTATTTTTGTGTAACTATAAATATTGATTAACACTTGATTAAATGGAGTTGTTTCACACGCATTCTACACTGCCCGTCGTTTCTCTCTCTCTAATTATCTGTTCCGACCAACGATTGTATGTATTGAAAAATCCATTCTCTTATTTTGGCTTATTTAATTCCATTATTTACTAACACGATCTAAGTCCATAATTATATACGAGGTTTGATGATATGTATAATTCGACAACAATTCGTTGGGATGACCTAGAAAAATCCTCGCAAAAGACACGCAAGGTTCAAGAAACATTAAGAAGCATTTCATCCAATCAGCGTTCACTTGGAGTTTAGCCAGAAAACGTCAAGGATGAGAAACGTCACATGTAGAGATTCTGATTGGTTGATTGTTATACCGCTACTATGTTTAGTGGCATTCCAGAATCTTCGAGCAACCCAAGGACATTTAGAATATTATAAAAACCCTCTGTTTTCTGGATTAAAAGGAACCTTGGAGTAAAGTACTTTTTCGCATACTTTGTGCCTTCTCTCTCGTGTTCAGGTCTCTGTATACTTCTAGCTTGGGGGTTTTCAAGAATAGCTTAAGAATCGAGTATAACGTTCGAAAACCACAAGACTTATCACAATTAAACATACGATATAACTGGAGTCAGATCCCCGGCCTCTAAAGTGGTAAACCCGTCGACAACATCGTCCGATCTAATTGACATCTGAATAAAGGGCCACTAAAGATCCAAATTAATAAAAACATGTAAAGAAAGCCTATTGGCTTTTCTTCATTATTGGAAAACAACATACTAGTAACCGATAGTCTATTTAAATAATGTAAATTCGACATTAAACTTATGTCTTGGGCCTTCCTTTCTAGTTCTTCACATGTCTGTCTCTATTTCTCAGTGTAATATGTTCTCTGGTTGTTCTCTTCTTCTTTGACCTTGAAGATTTCAAGTGAGGGCTTGCCTTGTAATACAGTTGTGTGCTTTCCTCAATATGCCATTAGGAAAATAACTTACAATGTTTTCTTTTGTTCCCTTGAGGTATTTTCTTCAACTTTGCCTTTTATCAACGTTCTAAAGACTATTCAATAAGCATATCCCAATGTAACATTAAAAATGTTGTTTCTTTAAAAAAAAAAACACTGAATAGCATATCAAGATGGTATCATTGAATTTTTATTGTTATGAAATGGATCCAAATGTAATAGATTAGTGTACTGGTTGTGATGTTTATTATATCTTTTTGTACTTTGGTTCATTGTTTATTATACACATCTAATATTGCACTATACTTTTCCGTCTAACTACTTTTTTCGTATATATAAGTCTACCGTTTATCACTTTATAAGTAAACCGTACTTAGGTAGTTTATTTTTTGGGGAATTAGTTATTTACACTGGTAACAATATAGAAATGGGAAATAACTATCCATATCAATTTATAACTTAAGATCACTTAGTGTATTAGATCAGTGTTTATCTTTGAAGCTCAACAGTTAGCATGAAAAGATTGTGTTGAATAGGCATTCACTGATCTCTCATCTTTTCATCCCAATTATGTAAAACATCGAGTTGAGATCAAATTTAATATATTGTATATTGATGTTGTAATAAATCATTGTATAAAGCCTTTTCTATTGAAACAGTTCATAGTGAAAATAATGGACGTGTATTTAAGTTAACTATCACATTATGGATCAAATAATGACAAGATTTATAGTGAAATATTTCATCAGTCAGTCAGTTGGGCGTTTTACAACACAGAACCTGATGTATATCTTGCTCAGCATTAGTCTGGGCATAGTGAATATTAATGTAATAAATGTAATTATTAAATAAGCTTCAGCAAAAATGATTTGGTAATCAGGATATGATTTAGAAATGGAAGATGGTGGCTCAATTTCGTGGACTGGTTGAGGTTAGATATTAACACCGTTGGATGCTGACCGGCTCAGTGGTCTAGAGGTTAAGCGTTTGCGCGCGAGACCAAAGGCTCTGGGTTCGATTTCCGCGAGCAGGATCGTGGATACGCACTGTTGAGGAGTTCCACAATAGGACGAAATGGATGTTTAGTGCTTTCAGGCTTCTAATTATGGTCTAACATCAATTGGTTCATGATCTCAATCAAAAACTTAGTAATCTCCACAATCCCATACTGATATTTGTTAGTGTTTAATTTCAGTTGACGTTAGCGGTGTGTATCCTTTAGCAGTCTCACACTAGAATAAGTGTTCTTCAGTTTTCAGTGATATCACAAATTAGATCAATCAATGATGGATATTACCTACAGATTGAAGTAATCACCATAAGACTAATTCATTTGAAATTGAAAATTCTATATTGAATGATGTATTGAGTGAATTTCTCTCATCTAAATAAGTTTAGAATTAAATATTTTTGTTATTAATAGATAGTTTGTAAAACAAAAAAAAAGTATCAGAATGGAGTTTAGTGGATATTGTAGTGATTTTTAATAGTTGGGTTCATGCGTCGATTAAAGTTAGACCACTATGGAAAACCTGGCCGAAGGACCTGGGTTCGAATTCCACTGGATAGGATAGTGGATACGCACTGCTGAGGAGTTCCATAGTCGGAAGAAACGGACTTCTAGTGCTTCCAGGTTTTCTATGGTGGTTTAGATTTAATCGACTCATGAATTCAAATATTAAAAAAGACAGCACTTTGTTTCCCTGTAAACAATTTATACTTGTCTTGTATTGACTAACTGACATTCCAGAATGTTATTCTAGTATATTATTTGGACGGTAAGTTTAAGAATAATTACCTTTTACTTTAGCCATTGGTAATATAGATTGTTATGAATTACTTTACGTAGATAAGAATTAGTTTAATCAACTTTTATGTGATTGTTTTCAATTAAAATTTTTAGGCAAGTAGACGTAGACGGGAAATGACACAGAAGGATAAAGATTATAGAGTAAGTTTAATTTTTCACAAACGATTTTATTGATTTCCTTGCACACTTTGTAATCGTTTTTGTTTTTCTTTGTAAAGATTGTATTGTTTATCAATAATCAGTTATTTTACATGTGGATTAGAAACGTAGTTGATCTTTATCGAATAATTGGGAGGGGGGAGGTATTCGAGTTAGACAGGTATGGTGAGACCGACCAGCTAACATCAAAGCCACACCTCGTGGTCAGTACCTAACGTGGATTACGCTTTCAAAGCATTCAGGTACTAAATCTGCTTTGATGGCCGTACAACACATACGATGTTATTACTGAAATTTATTAGTGAGAGTAGTTACAAGAAACATAGTGAAACCGTTGCTGTATGAACCAATCCACGGTGTGCTGTTAACTGATATGCGTTGATTGTCGTTGACCTTGTCGGAGATTGATGAACTGTTCAACATTTACTGACCCGACTACCGAATGATTTGACTAGGGCTCAGTGACATTTCATTGGCTCTACATATATAAAAAGTAGAATTACTTTAGACATGGATAAAATTAAACAAGTCATTTTCGAAATAATGGTTATGAGATCTTACTGATAATATCAGTAACTTGTCATTAAACGAATACCTTCAAAACAGTTTCCCTTTTTAACAGTACCTACAATTTTTCTCTAATATCAATAACTTGTAAGGGTTGTTTAAGATGAACTTCAATAATGTAATCAATTATAGGTGGCGTTTGAAGCGAACGATACTGGGTTCGAGTCCCAAAGTGAATATCAACTCTGAGATGCAGGTAAATCCAGCTGACAAGTCCAAAATCGGACGAAATGCGCGTCAAACTGGATTCCACTGCTAGTCACGATCCATTTATTTATTATTATTATTACTACTCCAATTGTGTAAACAATTATAGGTTCCATAAAAAGAGAAGTTAGATTGGTAAAATTGAAGGCATTCATATTATGCTGATTTATTTCACCAAAGATAATTTCTTAAATTTCTTGTTCACAAATCTTAGCAACATTGTTTTGTTCAATCAATAATATGAGGAAACAATAAAGTTGTCGTGTTTAAAAATAGCAAAAACTAATTTGCTTTATAACTTCTGTGTACAATACTTTCTCCATACTTCCTATACATCTATCTATCTCTCTCCCTATCTCTCTCTTTCTCTTTCTCTCTCTCTTTCTCTCTCTCTCTCTCTCTCTCTATATATATATATATATATATATGTATATGTATATATATATATATATATATATATATATATATATATATATATATAAAAATATAGAGAGAGAGAGAGAAAGAGAGAGAGAGGAACATCCCACTACATAATCAGTTTTAGAATAGTTTTAATATATTTAATCTTCAATGTACTTCACCATTGTTCGTTAGCATTACTGATATTGATCACTGCCAGCTAGTATTGTAATTAACTAGTCATTATTTATGATTAACATACTATATACTTTAATTTCAAAGAAGTACTAGAACGCTTTTCTTGTGCATTCCAAAAGAACTATTATTATTAATATTATTATTATTATTGTTAGGGATAAATAGAATTCGGTAAAGCTAACCCCATGCACAACCCTCCTCCTTTACCTGGGCTTGGGACCGGCAGTAACTCTAGAATTCCTACAGGCGGAGTTAATTTTTTTTCTCGATGAAACCATTTCCTTTAACTGTACATTCGTATTTATAGTTACATGGAAAATATAAGTCTATAGAAGCATAGAAAAGATTGCATCATAAGTTGATTCGAGATTCTTATTATCAAATGAGGTTACGCAATAATCAAGGAGTAAGGAAAGAAATATAAGTTCACTTGGTATTGTTTTGCTTGAATCTTCCCATTGAGGTTTAAGACTGAAATTGATCAACTTTTTATCAGAGAGTTTCGATATTGACAAATAGGACGAAACGTGCGTCAAACTGGATTCCACTGCTAGCTATTATCCATCTTTGCATAGAATGCTCGTGAATTAAGGTAATATTGAGGCAATACGCACAGTATGTACGTATGCCAATAACAGACTGATCAATTGCGGTCCTAAACATCAATGGGAAGATTCAAGTAAAACAATACCAATTAAATTTAAATTCACCCAATTGCACAACCAAGTAGCTATCAGGACTCAGTAGCTAAGTACAGAACGCGATAGAGTTTGAAATGAACGGCAGTGAGTTCGAGAAACCGATTGAACATCAATTCTGAGATGCAAGTACATCCAGTTAACGAGTCCCAATTAGGACGAAACGCGTAACATGGATTCCACTGCTAGTCACTATCCATTTGATTGTTATTATTATTAATAATCTGATTATTGATTAACAAGTCTATTTCTGGTCAAGTTAATGTACGTGGATTATCGGAGATATTACCGATGGAAGTCGGTTTGACTCTGCTAAATGATAGGACAATTTTTAATTGTTAACGTACGTAAATCTAAAGAGTATAGTGTTGTGAATTTTTCAGGGTTGTATTCGCCTTTCAAAAGCTACTTTTGGTTATGTTCTGAGGTATGTTTAGAAAGCATTTATTTGATACGGTCGATGTGATTTACCTTACAAGAGTGAATATACATATAGTTATGGATTAATGTGACCTAAAACAGAAGTTTAACCTTAACTTAGGTCATATAACAGACAATTCAAAACTTTGCAAAATAGATTGATTTTCTGACAATTTACAATCCCGTTTATCACGATTTTCTCAGCAGTATCTCCTTTAAAATCGATATTTATGAAAGATGTTTTCTTTTGAAATAAGGATAATCTTTCAGATTATACCTTCAGTTTCAATCTTCTATCAAAGAAAACCCATTTTTTACTGAATATTCTTCGGAGTTCAAATAATTCATTATCTATTCTATCATTGTAAAATATTCACTTAGCCTTCAAAGTCTTTGACTGAGTTAATGTTTGCTTTATGCTCGTTCATATTTTAACCAGTAGAAAGTAACTGCCAATGAAATCATGTACTAAATGCAAATAAAATTCTCTTTTACCAGTCACTAGGCTTTATTTCCAATACTTCATGAGGAATAGATTTAATCAAACGACTTTGTATTACTACAATTAGTTAAAATGACTTAATATTATGGTCAAATTAGATTTACATAAATTAGATGAAGAAAATCAGCAGTAAATCAATCATTGACTTAAATTTTCTTCTAATACTCTCCAAACAAACTTCAATCTTCTGTTCAAGAAAATGATAAAAACCTTAAGATGTTTGTATAAATGATATCGAAGTTGAATATCTCTTATCATCTATCGTAAAGCACAGATATAGTTCATTGAATAGTTCTAGTATGTTAGCCGGAGAATTTCGAGACATATATATATATATATATATATATATATATATATATATATATATATATATATATATATCAGAAGGGGTTTTGTGGATCTTATAGTAATTTTAATAGTTCAATTGGGAATCAGTGATCAATGGAGTTCAACCGAGTCTGTTGTATGATAGTAAATCACTGATAACAATTGTAGATGTTTCACTCAATTTCATGGATTAGTTGAATTTAGATATTAACACCATTGAATGTCAGCTCCGTGTTCTAATGATTAAGCGTTCACGTATGAGACCAATAGGTCCTACATTTAAATCTCACGAGATAGGATCGTGGATACACACTTCCATTGGAGAGTTTCATGATAGGATGAAACAGTTATCCAGCTCTTTCAGGTTCTCCATGGTAGTGATCTGGCTTCCATTGTCTTATGATCTCAACTATCAACATATATATGTATCTTTCCGAAGTATTCTATATCATATGTATATATATATATATATATATATATACATTTTAATTATCATCAACTTAAAACTTATCTTTATTTTTCTTCTATACTCTTCTTTTCGTTTACTGCATGGTATTCATTGTTGTTCCTTTATTGTTTAATTGTTTCAATTGTTTCAATCAAAATGTTCTCTAATGTCTTTATTGTTTAATTGAATTTATGTTGCATGTATAATACATGTCAATTATATGTCATTATATTGATGTTCTTTCAAATTGTTGTTAACTAACTATCACTGTAATATCTATACACACACTTCAATAATAATCAATAATCAATGGCTTTATTGGTTACCTATCGGTTACGTCATAATCTATATATATATATATATATATATATATATATATATATATATATATATATATATATATATATGTCTGTATACGTTTAATACTAGGCATTTTTACAACGTAATCGTCAATGGCAAAATACAGAGAAACAAAAAGATATGCATGCAAGTATTCAACACTCATCTAATTCATTACAAACTGCATGTTAAAAAATAAATCATAAATTAAAATAATTATGATAATGTATAAATCAATATGATGACAAATATAATTTCTGTTCCGTTTTTGTTTTCTTTTTCTTCCCCATATTTTTTTCTTTTTCATACCAATTAATTGAAACGTTGTCATGTAGTAACTAATACTTGTTCTAATGATTACGTCATATAAGATTGTAGTTCATTTGAAATAACGAATGATCAACTATTATTTTTTTATAATTTTAATTCATGTAGGTTATTGTTTCATAAAATTGATTTTTTTTTGTATCCAAGCGTCTGTTGTTGTTGTTTTTTTTGTGAGAGAGAGATTTGTTAAATAACTGATGTATATGGTTGATATATTGACTATTAGATTTATTAGATCTATTCATAAAGAAATAGAATAGATCTTGGGTTTGAATCCTGTGGGGACGAAGTCGTGGATATGCACTGCTATTGAGGAATCCCATACTAGGAAGAAACGACCATCCGGTGCTTCCAGGTTTTCTATGGTGATCTAGCTTTAATTGACTTGTGAAATTTCTAAACCTGTGCTAAAACTAAATAACCAGTAAAGATGAAAAATTTGTTTTACTGTTATCATCCTCTATTAATATGACGATCATATTGACCGAATATATTTATTTAAGATTTTTAGGAATTCGAATGATTCATCAAAACGTGTACAGGTTTTAATAAAGATTAGTGTTACAAATTATCATCAAATGAGATATTTGTGTTTCTTACTTGATATTGTTCAGTTGAATCTTCCTATTGATGCTTAGAACTGCAATTGATTAGTCTGTTATTGATATATACGTATCTTGTGTGTATTACCTCAATATTGCTTTAATTCACGAACATTCTAAGCAAAGATGAATGATGGCTAGTAGTGGAATTCAGAAAGCGCGTTTCGCTCTATTCACTGCATGTCATCTTCAAGTGGACAATACCAAGTGAATTTAAACTTCACTCCATTACACAAGCAAGTGGCTATCAGGAGTCTATTGCTAAATGGTTAACGTGACGGTGTTTGAAGTAGACGGTACTAGGTAAGAGTCCCAAAATAAACATCAACTGTGAGATGCAGATACATCCAGCTGATGAGTCCCAAATAGGACGAAACACGCATCAAACTGGATTTCACTGCTAGCCATTGATAAGTTATTATAGAAATAGTTGGTAAACTAATCTGTGTCCTGTGTTCATTCTCATTAATGTCCTTATCTTTCATTATTCCATTTTTGGAAAAGAAAAGAGTCTCAAACGTTAAAGGCCTTAGATTTTTTAAAATTTTATTTCTTTGAAACGTCCGTCCTGAATTCCACTCCTAACCACTATTCATCTTTGTTTATTACTTTGAGTTAGCTTGAGATAATGTAGCGGTTGTTATGAATCATTTGGTCAATCTTATGCAATTATTGTATTATAATTACTCACTAACCTACATACATTGTAAATGAAGAAGTTAGCTTAATTGATTACTTTATTGTGTATGGATTTTTATTTATCCAGTTTTGTTTGGTCCAGATACACAGGTCATCGACTGATAAACACTTCCTGATGCGTTAGATAGTAACTCTTATTACGATTAGGTAAAGAATAATATATCATTGTGAAATAGATTGCTTGATAACATGTATTTAACAAGTACCAAGTAACAATGAACCCATCATAGGATACTGTTAATAATATGAACTCGAATCTTTGAAAAATATACAAACATATCTATTACACATTACAGATATATCAGTTAAAAGTAGATCTATTTGTATAGCAGTAAATATTTAATTCATGAAGCAACGACTCTCTTTATATTTTAAGACTAAGACTGTACAGTATTTTTGGAATTAGATTCATATGTATGATTAAGGAAATTATTATATTAATTACTAACGAATAATGTAGAATGTTACATTATTTGTGTTACTTATATATTTATGCTTAATACTCCTCATGGAGGACCATAGGTCGTTCACCAGTCTTCTTCATACAACCCTGTCCTGGGCAATCTTTTCTAGCTCTTTCCAGTTATTATTCAATCTTTTCATGTCTACTTCCCATTCACAATATAATGTGTTCTTTGGCCTTCCAGGTTATCGTTTCCCTTCAGGATTCCATGCTAGGGATTGCCTCGTGATATAGTTCAGTGTTTTCCTCAATGTATGTTCTATTCACTTCCAACATCATTTCCTAAGTTTGTCTTCAGCTGGAAGCTGGTTTATAATAGGTTGATGTCAAATTGTATAAATAATACTAATACATATGTGACTGCATGCATATTCGTCCATATATACTCGTAAATGTATGCATTTTACTTACGAAGGAGACGTATACAACCATATATATATATATATATGTATGTAAGGAACTGTTACATGTTTCTATGTTGTATTGAAAATGTCTATTTGCTTGTAAATTCAATGTTAAAGTTTAGTTGATAACTGATGTATATATGTATGTTTAAATGTATCACTTCCATAGTACAATTTAACCAATATGTGTGTATTTCTATGTAAACAAGAAGATAAACCACAGGTTCTTTAATTTTTTTGGTGGGGGGAGAGTTGAGATTATTTTCAAAAGTGATTTGATTTTAACAACTTTAGGGAATCCATTATTCAAAACCAAAAAAAAATAAAAAAATAAAAAAAAATAAAAAATAAAAAAGTAGAGTTGAACCATAAAATTAAATAAACTGTACCCAGGTTACATTTTAATTCATGTAGCTTTTCAGAACTACTATTCAAAAGGTATGTTTACAACAAACAATAATAATGTTGTTTTCTTTTTTTTCAACTTTTATTCTAAATATGTTTTGTTATATCCTGATGAGAATAATGAAGGGTACAAATGTTGTTTTCTATTATTTTTATGGTGTGATGTGGTCTGTTTGGTTTGTATATAATAAACCCAGTATGTTAGAAATACATGATTCATATCTCAGAGGCTGAGATTGGTGTTCTGGAATCAATAGGCAGGAGTAGGCCGGAAGAAGGACCGATAAAGACTTTAGACTACTCGTAAGGATTTTATGCGTCATTGGTCCGGTCGATAATTCACTGTTCTCTAATTGGTGGTATCATCAGATTATACATTGATAGGGGCACGGAGCACAAATTATACCCATCTTTAAACCAATTAGATATGTATGTAGAAAGTAAAATATGTATATTGATCACTATGACATCATTGTGCTATATCTGCAATAGTTATCTAAAGATAGATTGTAAAAGTTTTATAAATGCAAGAGAATGAACTAATATAATTGTTGATTGATTTTGTATTTTGAAAGAGGTTTGTTCTCTGAGCTGGATGGTTTGGTTGTGGAGCTTTTATCATTCTTTCAAAGGACATCATCAGTAGCACCAACTTCAGATAGAAATCTGATCTAGACGGCCGTTTCATCCAATTTCGAGACTTCTCAGCAGTGCGCAGTGTGTCGTTCAATTTCGTGGATTAGTTGAAGTTAGAAATTAACACCGTTGGATCCCGGCCGGCTCAGTGGTCTAGGGGTTAAGTATTCGTATGCGAGACTGATAGGTTCTGGGTTCGAATCTCGTGTGATGGGATCGTGGATAAGCGACGCTGAAGAGTCCCACAATAGGATGAAACGGCTGTTCAGTGCTTTCAGGTTATCTATGGTGATCTAGTTTCAATTGACTCATGATCTCAACTGTTGGAATTACTATAATATCCAGAAAACCCCTTCTGATATTAATTGTTGTTAAATCGTTAAAAACAAAAAGATAAATTGATAATATCCTACATTATCACACATGCTAATCTTTCATCTAATAGTGCTCGTAGATTAGTAAAGTAATCGACTTTCTTCAAATATGCCTACCGAGAATCAAATTAGGCTTCTACCTGAAGTTTGTGTTGATGATGATATCGTTTAGAAGAACAATGAAACCTCCATGACAAAACCAACCAGCTCAGTGAACAAAACTCCAAAATCATTTACCTGAGCTGTAAATCTTCTCCATCATCTCATTTTGTGTTTTTGTTTAAATCTTCCCATTGATATTTAGGACTAAAATTGATCAGTTTGTTATTGGTATATGTGTATCTTGTGAGGATTACCTCGTTAATGTCATACATTATAAGCATAGTTGGATGTTGGATAATAGTGGAATCCACGACGAGCCATTACACAAGCTAGTGGCTATTAGGATTCAATAGTTAACTGGTTAACGCTTTGGCGTTTGAAGTGAACGGTACTGGGTTAGATTTCCAGAGTAAACATCAACTCTGAGATGCAGGTACATCCAGCTGACGAGTTGCAAACAGGACAAAACACACGTCCTGGATTCTGCAGCTAGCCACTATAGATCTTTGCTTATATATGATTGATAGTTATCATTAATTACCTAAGTATTCGTAGCATATATATATATATATATATATATATATATATATATATATATATATATATATATATATATATATATATATATATATATATATATATATGACTAAGAACCAAAATTTGAATTTTTTCTGGAAGAGCCCTTATAGAATCGTAAATTCATGAGTAATATATTCATAATTAATAAACTAAAATCCCAGAAATGTTTGAATGAAGGTAATGTCAATATGATCTAAAATGATAAAATGTTTCAATATTCAATTTCATTTTGTAATAGAATGTACAAAGTATACATAATCATGGTATTATGCTCCACAAAGAAGACTTACCTTACTTACACCTGTTACTCTCAATGGAGTATAGGCCGCCGATCAGCAATCACTTTGTACTGAACCTTCCTTTCTAGTTCTATCCAGTTGTTGTTCATTCTTCTTATGTCTGTCTCCATTTCTCGGCCTAATGTGTTATGAGACGAATGAACAAGAATCGGATAGAACTAGAAAAAAAGGTCCAGGACATAATGAGTTGGAGAATTCTGGTCGGTGGCCTATGCTCCTCGACGAGGAGTAACAGGCGTAAGTAAGTAAGTAAGTAAGTAAGTAAGTAAGTAAGTAAGTAAGTAAGTAAGTAAGTAAGTAAGCAAGTAAGTAAGTAAGTAAGTAATATATATGTCTATATACTGATATGCATCGCAATCATATATTCAACACTGTCAATAACGTTAACGTTCCAAGTTGAAATAATTCATATTTTTTTTAAAAAGAAAAACAAGTAGTTTATTTTCTTTACAAAATCTCTATTATTTAAAGGCAACTAAACGACCAATTAATCAGAGAGAATTTGGATCTGGAACATCATTATAAATCAATATGTATGAGAACACAATGATATCTATTAGCTATCCAATATTGTTTATGCATATTATATGCATAATAAATACGTACTATAATTACATCTATTGTATGAACCAGTAAATGCTCAAAGGTATGTATCCTACGTGAGTTAAGATATTCATAAATTAACCTAAACAACAATTGTTTATAATATTCATACTGTTGCTTGATGTATATTATGCTGTAATGTCGGTTACTATGTTAAGAGCCTACATAACTTATACTAGCTTCTGGACAGGCCAATTTATCCATTCTTCTTGAATCACGTTTTGACCTTGGTTATTATTCACTTATCAACTTGGACTGTTTTTATATAAGCACATAGGTGTGTACACTTCTTATCCTCTTTGTCATATGTCTGTTGCCTATTTTTGTGTGACTATAAATATTGATTAACGCATGATTAAATAGAGTTGGCTCATACGCCTTCTCCACAGCGCGTCATTTTGTTTCCCTCTTTTCTTTTCGCTTCGTTCATGTGATTGTCTGTCTAGATCAATGATTGTACAAAATATACGTATTCAAAGATTCATTCTCGTATTCCACTTATTTAGTTCGATTGCTCACTAACGCGAGTTAAGTCAATAATTATATACGAGGATAGGTGACATATATATTTCGACAGCTAACATTCATATGATCTAATTTGAGTCAGATCTCGGGCCATTAAACTGCAATTTGATCCGTTTCTAGAAATTGATAGATCATTATTATATTGTTAATTTAGTATTTAAGTGATAGTTTAACAAAATGTTAGTAGTAAGTTTTCTTGTATTCCATTGTATATAAAATGCATACTATACAATATTGATACACTGTTAAAAAACCAAAGTTATGAAAATATACAACACTTTTGGTTCTCAACAGGTCTCCAGTTAGTTGCTATATGTGAGGGAAACTATACACGAATAAGGGGATCTATTCCAAAGTTTATTTTCTTAATATTAAGTAACATTTCAAGATGTTTTATTAATAACATGTTTAATTAATGAGCCATAAGTGAACGTAATGAGATATTGAGCCATAAGTTTAAAGTTTAAGATGATGGTTGGAGGTAGTCAACAGAATACTCTGGACATAGGTTTCGTGCTATTTGGTACTCCTCAGCTAAGTGTACTTATAATCTAGAGGGAAATGTTGTTCCCTGACGGATTCGATCCCGTGTCTCCTGTTGGACTGAGATGTGTTTACAATTGATTGATCACTGGGTGGTAATCAATACCATGTATGTGCAGATCGAATCCTTAATTGTTTTTAAATGATTAAAGATGGAATTGAATACAACATGTGTAAGCAAAGTTATTAACCAGCTAATGATTTATTTGAGAAATATCTTAAAACTTGAAAGCTTTAGATGGCCGTTACCGTTCTAGTATGGAACTCCTTAACATTCTTCATTGTAATATCTTCGTGAAAATATTGATAATAATGATATTTAAGAAGTATATATTTATGTATTCAACTTTTAGTTACAAGTTTTGTATGAGAAGTGTTAATTGTAGTCAGTTGCTTAAACTTAAGTAAAAGAAGCGTTTTCTCAACCTACATGGTTACTGATTCGAAAGTGACTTGTTTCAAAATTGTGGATTCATGAAGTAACCTGCTTATTTACTTAATAAGATCTAGCGTCATAAAATAGGTGTTTTTGGCAAATTTTCTGTCTGAGTGAACGAAAACAGCAACCGAAAATTCATGAGTCAGTTGAAGCTATAGATCACCATGGAAAATCTAGATGCACTAATTGGGTGTTTCGTCCTAGTATAGGACTCCTCAACACTATGCACCCACGATCCTTTACAGTGGGATTCGAACTCAAGACGTATCAGTTTCGCGCGCGAATTCTGGGCCGACTGGCATCCAACGGTGTTAAAGCTTAATTTCAACCAATCCACGAAATCTCACCACTGTCCATTATTATCATCAATGAGTTACTAACTCACAACAAAACTGGTTAAACATCACTGGTACGTACTACTGAGGAATACCATACTAAAACCAAACCACCATCCACTTGCTTCCAGATTTTCCATGGTGACCTAACTTCAATCAATTCATGTATTCAACGATTGAAATTACTAATAATATCTACAAAACCCCCTCTCTGTTCAATATGAAAATGATTTAATCACTATCTATGATTCTAAGAACAAATTTCATTTACATAATTTATAATTCTACTTTATTTATTTATTTTAGTGCTAGAAACTAGTTAAGTCAATTGGAGACATGGAACCAATTCCAAAGATCTGTATCCATTCAAATATCCAACTTGTCTGATAGTTTTCTTCTTTTTTTTTGTATTGTCTTATTTTACATTGATTTGCACATAATTTCTTATTTTCTTTTTCATTTGTACTCATACACATATTTACACACACGCACGCACACGCACACGCACACATACACTTAGTCATAAGGTGTACACTAATGCATAGTTGAATTATTGTATACAAACTTAGATACTTATACATATAAATAGTATTGACATAAACTTATTTTCAATTCCCTTTATGCATTGAGATGATTATGACCATGTACACAAATCTTTTTAATTTCATTTATGAATATATATATATATATATATATATATATATATATATATATATGATATATTGTAGTAGATTAAGGTGTTTTACCCTCCTTCTTATTGGCCTAGATACTAATTCAAAGTGTTCACTGCAATTTAGCAAGTTTCAATTTTACTATTTTTTTTATACCAAGAACATTATGTTTAATTGGTTACATTTAGATCCTCAGATATACAGTTCTATTACATATTCAAGTTACAGTATGTTTATTTTACAATGATAGTAGTAACAATAATGAATATACGTGTGTGACAATGTTACTTATAGATCAACAGTTTATAGTGGCTTTGCTTCGTTAATCGATCACCTCGATAACCGTTATAATATTAATCTCAACAGTGTTTGAAATCAGAAGGCAATCAGAAGTGGTAACTACAGTTTGTTAGGAGATAGCAAAAATCACAAAGCTATAAGCACATTGAATATCTTTGAAGCGAATAAGCTAATAAGTATATGCGAGCAATTACATAGGCTATAACAGCTCACATGCTATTGTGTTTGTTCACATTTAATTCGGTTAAGTCATTTTATTAACCTATTAACGAACTGAGTCATCCGTACAACAATTTATCTATATCATTGTATCCTTATTATTGTTGCGAATGTATGAACATGTATGCTCGGCAAGCCTTACTGCCTACTCATTTATTCACGCTACTAGCTTTACTATTAACCGCTTAACTGAATCGATGATTCATTCATTTCACTATGTATATATAATGTCCATGTTATTCATATTCATTACTCGCCCGCTCGCTTGCCTGTTTGCCTTTCGGCACAACTATTTCATGCTTGCTGTAATTTTGGATATCTGTGTGTGGTCCCATAATAAACGTAATTAACACTTCGTATTCGCCTTCTGATTAATATAGCGTTGGAGCATTATTTAGTGACGGTTACCGAGACGAACTGTATATACGGAGTTTAAGGAATATATCGAACAATGACCACCACAAGGCAAATGTATAGTCAAATTGTATAATGGCACAGTAAGGCAAAGCAAGGACTAATAATAGGATTTGAGTATATATATACATAGGGGGGGGGAGAGAGGATGAAACATCGAGTGATATTTAAGCAATCCACATTTTAGCTCAAGTCTGTCATGTGATCTAGTGATTATAACAGTACAAAGAAGTATGCGAATAGTTACTATTGAAATATCATTGTTTGTTATGTAAGTTAACAAAAATGGGATTAACCATAATCGAAATTGATTGTAGGATAGTTGCTATAAATCTTAATTTGTTTATATGCCTTTAGAATCCATTTAGTTAATGACAAAGAAGCATATACATTCAACTATATTAATCATGATAATAACAATTACCGAAATCACAAATTACTATTATGAATAGAAAACTAAACTAAACGTTATAGAAATGAAAATTGATTGAATGAATTATACTTTCTTTGTGAATACATCTGATTGAAGTGTTCTATTAGGTCTATTGCACTTTTGCCAATTAGATAGATACATTCATTCTCCTGGTTTTGTGTGTTTGCCATTATTACTTGTCTATATTGAAGTACAGTTAAATGAATGAAAAGACAAAGTTGCGGTTAATGTTAAATAGTTTACAATTTACTTGAACTGGTAGTGTATTAATTAATGATAAATTAAGGTAAATAATACCTAAGGAAAGGAATTTTGAAATACTTACCTACTTACTTACTTACTTATTTACGCCTGTTACTCCTCGTGAAGGAGCATAGGCCGCTCACCAGCATTCACCATCCAACCCTGTCCTGGGCAATCCTTTCTAGCTCTTCCCAGTTGTTATTCATCCTTTTCATATCTGATTCTATATCTCGACGTAATGTGTTCTTTTTTCTTCCTCATTTCTTCTTCCCTTCAGGATTCCAAGTTAGGGTTTGTCTCGTAATGTAGTTTGATGATTTCCTCAATGTATGTCCTATCCATTTCCATCATCTTTTCCTAATTTCCTCTTCAGCTGGAAGCTGGTTTGTTCTCTCCTACAGAAGACTGTTACTGATGGTATCCGGCCAATAGATGTTGAGTATCTTGAGTAGACAGCTATTGATAAATACTTGTACCTTCTTGATGGTTGTTGTTGTAGTTCTCCAAGTTTCAGCTCCGTACAATAGAACTGCCTTGACGTTGGTATTGAAGATTCTGACTTTGATATTGGTTGAAAGTTGTTTTGAGTTCCATATGTTCTTCAATTGAAGGAATGCGGCCCTTGCTTTGCCAATAGATAAACACAGGTAACGTAAGTAATTAATCATTTAATTTACAACGGCACTAAATACAACACGACTTATACATTAAAACTAAGCTGGATAAAAAAACGATGGGGCGAAGAATATCACGAGACTAGATAATAGATAATCAAACCAATACATAGATACGAAACTCTG